TTTCTCTGTATAGCCCTGGCTGTCCTGGAACTCACCCTGTAGACCAGGCTGGCCTCGAACTCAGAAATCTGCCTGCCTCTGCCTCCCAAGTGCTGGGATTAAAGGCGTGTGCCACCACCGCCTGGCCTTGAAGTTATTTTTAATGTGATGTTTTCCCATGTTTTCCCATTGAGTACACACACACACAACACACACACGAAGGTAATTAAAAAATACTTAAACAGATTCACTTGACTTTTGAGTTTTTTTATGTAAAGAATGATGCCATTTCAAATAGGGGCTGGTTTGCCATTTATTTATTTACAGACAAGGTCTCAGCTGCGAAGCACTGGCTGGCGTGGAACTCACAGAGCTCCGTCTACTTCTGCCTCTTGAGTGCTGGGATTAAAGGTGTATGCCATCATACCCACTTTATTTGCAAATTGAGATAGTTTGACGTTTTGGTTTTTCAAGACAGGGTTTCTATTTGTAGCCCTGGCAGTTCTGGAACTTTGTAGACCAGGCTGGCCTCTCAGAGATACCTGCCTGTCCCTGCTGGACCTCCAGCTGGAGACTAAGGCGTGCACCACCATGCCTGGCCTAGTTTGACTTCTCTCCTACTTTTCTCTCTTTCTCTTATCTAATCTCTGTATCGGAGACTTACCATAGAAATAAGCAGTATTACATAAGCAGTTGAATGAATCCTTGGTCCTGATTTTAAAGGACCTTTGTGGGTCAACCTAATGTTGGCTACCAGTTTATTGTTATATGTAGTGGCCTTGATTATTTTGAGATATATTCCATCTGTTTGTAAAGTCTCCAAAACTTTCATCACAAAGACATGCTGAACTTTTTCAGCATCAATTGAAATGATTATGTGGTTTCTTTCCTTAAGCTTATCTCCTTAAGCTATGGTATATTATATTTATTGATTTATATATGTTGAATTAATCTTGCTTTTCAGCCCATTTGGTCACAATGGAATTGTTCTCCTGCATAGCCTTGTCTGTTAATGATGTCATGTGTTTATTTGATTAACCATCTCCCTCATTTCAAGTTCCCTTCATTTCCCTTTTGTTTTTCAATGTTTCAATCTCCTTGCTAATTTTTTCCTCTACGTTTTAAGAGTTTCACCTTCAATTTAGTAACTGTTAAAATCACTTTGGAAACTGTCTTATGAAATGCTTGCATAGATTTTCTTAGTTTGTGCATCTGTTTGAATTTTCTATACCATTGATTTAAAAAAAAAACCCACTCAATTCTTTTTCAGGCATTTCAGCTATCTCTAGTTTTGGATTCTCTCATGGGAGTTAGAGGATTGGTGTAGGCGGTGAATTTGTGTTTCTTTGTGGGTTTATTGTGATTTACTATCTGTTGGAGTAAGTTTGTCCTGGCTTCCCCTTCTTATGAGCCTGCCAGATATTTTGTTTTCCGAAACTTCCTAGAGCAGTTGTTTTCCACCTGTGGGTTGTGACCCCTTTGGAGGTGTCCAGTGACCCTTTCACAGGGGTCACCTAAGGCCATCAGAAATCACAGATATTTATATCTTGATTCATAACAGTAGCAAAACTACAGTTATGAAGTACCAATGAAAATGATGCTATGGTTGGGGTCACCACAAGAGGGGCTGTATTAAAGTGCTGCAGCATTAAGGGGGCATCTGCCTGAAATTAGCTATGTGTTAGTAACACTTAGTGTTGATTGCCCAAGTCAAGCTGCTGAAGTCCCCCTGTGTCATCAGGGCCAAGGGTGGAGCTGCACACTCAGCTCTAAGGCACCAGGTGGAGTCTGACCTGCTAAAGAAAGGACAGCAAGCTTCAGACCCAGGGACATCTACCACCTGGGGTAGGGGTTATGATTATAGCCTCAGGCCCAAAGTAACCTCTGGGAGCATAGCAGTATACTCAGATCCTGCAGTGACCCCAGAATCTTACAAGTCAGAACCCCACACCACACTGACCTTAGAAACCACAGGAGCAAAAGCCCCTGTCTGTCAGGGGAATACGGACAGCTGGGGAGTCAGAGTTCCTTCACTGACCTGAGGCTGGAGTCCTGGTCGCTGAGTAATTTCTGGTTCCTCAGAAGCTAGAGGCCTAGACAGCTGGCATTCTCTGGACCACAAGAAGCCAGAAAGGTCACCTTGTCTATCTGGTGTAGCTAGAGCCAAAGGCCTGAATGTCCAGTGTGCAGTTTGTTTGTTTTTAACTTTTTAAGGAACTGCTATATACAACTGACTACACTACAATTTCCATTCTCACTAGAAGTGTCAATTTTTTTCCACATTCCGGTCAGAATTCCCACTTTGCTTTCCTGATAGTAGGCATCTGTATGGGTGTGTATAGCACGCCATAGTCTAGACGTGCATTATTAGTAATATAGTCAGTACTAGTTTTTGTTGGCTGTATTATAAATTCTTTTGGAGGGTATCTGTTCATCCATACATTGCATGTTTTTTAAAAATCTGTTTTGTTGCTAAGGGTTGTTTTCTGCATATGAATTCCTTGTCAAATATGTGACCTGTAAACACTGCCATTCTGTGGTCATTTGAAATTCAGCCGAGAAGGTTAGAGCAGGACATTGTTTGTGGCATAAGATGGCTGTATGAAATGAATTAATCCCCAAATTCAGTCTGAGAAGTGTCCCTAGACCTTATGTAGGAGCAGAGACTCTCCTTCCTCCTCTAAATGCATGGCCTGTTTTCCAGTACAAACACCTGAAGTGTAGAAGCGATCCTTATGTCAAGATCGAGGGGAAGGACACAGACGACTGGCTGTGTGTGGACTTTGGTAAGTTACTAGTGTACAGTTTACAAATAAATAACCATTATTTAAACTTTGTTTTCAGCTGCAAAAAGATAGAAATTGGTGAGTACACATCAATGTAAAATTTTTGAATTTTGTTTCATGTTATAAAAAGTTTGATCTGATTATATCAGGTAGTATTAGTCACATGTGAAACCTTTGCCTACCCAAAACCTCTGGACAATACACTTTTGATGGAACACATACTGTATGCCTGATATGTAAGGACCACACAGATGAGTAATGGAGTAATGGTGTATTAATATGTCATAGTTTGAGAACACTGTCCAGCCAGATATGAACTACTAAGGGAAAACAGTATCTCTGTGCTTACTCTGGGGCCAGGTGGCAATCATCTGAGATTTTAGCCTACTTGCAAGCTTTCATAGGGTTACAGTTGCTGTGGTGAAACACCATGACCAGAAGTAACTTGGGGAGAGAAGGATTTGTCTCACTCACACGTCCATCTGACAGTTCTTCACTGAAAGGAGTTAGGGCAAGAAGGCACCTAGAGGCAGGAGCTGAGGAAGTGGCCATGGAGGAGTGCTGCTTACTGGCTTGCTCAGCCTGCTATCTTATAACCCAGGACTACTGGGCACTCTAAGAAAATGCCCTATTGCCTTGCCTTACAGCCCAGTCTTCCGGAGGCATTTTCTTGGTTGAGGATCTCTTCTTTCAGTTGACATGAAACTTGCCAGCTCACAAGTTGTCATTCCAGATCATTTTGGAAAAGCATAGTGTTTCATGTGGCAATGGCAGTGACCAGTACTGTAAACTCTGCTGGTTGTCTGGGCCTCAGAGCCCATAAGGTAGCCCACAGGCCAGATGACACATAAGTAGGAGGAAGCAGGCCCACTTTTTGCTGTGCTGTGAGACAGCAAGGCTGTAAACCAGGGTTTCTCAGCTTTGTCACATTCCTGGTTTGGCTGTGTGCTTGGGGAACATCTTTTGTAATGCAGGGCAGGATGCTTATTCTTAGCAGAATCCACTCTCCTCTTTCCAGTTAAAACAGAGATGTCTGTGGGCATTGAAGCATTGCTGTGAACATAGCTGTCTTGGAGGCAAGCCCTATCTGGTAGGACTATTGACTTTGAAATCTTTGCTCACAAGATGTACAGAAAAGTCAGACCTGGGAGACAGTTGTCGCAGGGTATGACCAGAGGAACCTGATGGACCCAACTTGCATTCCCATGGATTAAAGTTAACAGCTATCATTGATGCTATTTGGTGACCTCATTTTCATGCTAAGTGGCAAATGTTCTAACAAAGCCACAGAATCGTTTGCCTGTCTAGGAAGCTGAAGGTGAGGAATGCACATTGAAAAAAATACAAGCAGTGGATTTTCTTCATTGTAATTTTTATCTGTTTCTGATAGGCAGTATGGTGATCCATTTGATGCTTCCAGAAACCAGAGAAACCTACGAATTAGAGAAATTATGGACTCTACGTTCTTTAGATGACCAGTTAGCTCAGATAGCAGCTGAGACGTTACCTGAAGACTTCATTCTTGGACTAGAAGATGACACTTCATCCCTGACTCCAGTGGAGTTCAAATGTAAATAAAACAAAGTCAATGCCATTCATTCCTTTGATAAGACTGAGCCATCTGCAAATACAGGTTCTAGCTCTATCTGCTTGGTCACTACAAGTTCTCACCTCCCTTCTGACCACTCATGCTGGTAGCTGAGCAGAGACTAGATAAATTAGCTCAGAGACTAGATAAATTAGCTCACAGACCAAGAACTAGTAATCCAATCCCAGTTTTTCCATCCTACTGTCTTTACTCTTAAGATTCTAGCATAATGCCTTGGGTAGCACTGGTCCCACAATTGACTCAAGTTCTCTGTTCAGATTATTCATTTTGTTTAAATGCAAATCTTCTTTACCATGGAATGGCCAAAACTTGGGGGAACAAACCCCCACACATTATCATATCAGCCTTCCTCACTTCCCCAGTTGTGATATCTGAGGGCAGCAGTAAGTACCAGTGTACTAGGGTATGAGGATAGCATTTCTATAACCCTTCCAGAGTGCTGCCATATAATATTTATATTTAGAATATTAGGAAAAGCCATGCAAATCTGTAATCTTAGTTATAGGAAAATCAAGGTTCACATTCTTGTATCACAGGCTGAAAAATAACTTACTGGTAGATTACTGCTTACTTTAAGATATAGAAAATAACTCAAGAACACTCATCTGAAAACATACTACAGAAGCTGTGGCTTATGATGAAAACTTTATTCTGCATCAGGGTACCTGGAAAATGAAGCTGCATTTGGGGCACACTACAGCTGAGAAATGATCTGTATATGATGAACACAAAACACAATTATAGAGATACTCAGTACCAGGTACTCCAGACCACCAGTGCTTAAGTGAAAGTAAAACATGATTGGCCACTCTAAAAGGCTAGACATGAAATATGGCAGAATTGAAACCAACAGATAGAAATGTAGCACCTGTCAGTTTTTAAAAAACAAACACTGGAAAAATCAAATACCGAGGAAGAGCTCTGGCCGTAAGCATATCTCCCCTGAGATCCAAGCAGGAGAGCAGGTCACATTTTTTTTTAAGCAGTTTAAATCCATCATATGAAAATGCTAGATGAATTCAGTTGTAAAAAGGGGCACTTTTTGGCTAAAACTACAAAACAGACTGGTTTTATGAAAATGTTTAGGAATTCATTTTCTAAATGATATGCTGATATTCAGAAAAACATAAAAGCATGTAGAAGTTAATCCTGAAACACAAATGAGGCGAAGTGACTTTCTGAAGGGTGACAGAATGCCCTCAAGGTCAGTGTAACACGACTATAACCACCGTAGAACAAAACAACAAAACAGTTCAGAAAGCAGCATGGCCTTGAGGACCACACCCACCCACAGGTATCCAGACAGGGCTTTGCCCTAAGTTAAGGAAGGGTAAAGGGGACGTCAGATGTTTCCACAGTCTGAATCCCCAAAGCCATTTGCTTCATCCCCTACCTTGACTCACTGTCAGGTAACTGCAGGGCAGACAGAAACTCTGCTACATTTCATGGAAGATTTTTGGTGGACTTCATTCTTCCCACTGCTTTAAAAAAATCTTCAAAATAGCTTAGGCTCCTGACAGTGCCAGGCACAGGATTGGGCTTTTGTTGCCCTTCAGCCCTTGTCACACCACCTGACTCCGCCTGGTCTTCACACAGCACTTCTTTCCACGTCTGCTCAGAGTGTGGTCTGATCTCAAGTGTGCTGGCAAGCTGAGCATCCTGTGCAACAAACTCAAGCTGATTGTTTAAATTCTGAATTTCTTCACTGACACGCTTCCATTTTCATGGTGACAGTCAAAGCACAAAGCATTTCCAAATTCCCACACATAGCTAAACACAAATCCCCAAGTCTTCTGGAGCCCTTTACACTAGCTGTCCCAGACCCTACCACCACTCTGCTCGGTCAGTACCATCAACAACCTTCCCAAACATGAACAAAGGAACACATGGCATGGCTGCTCTCCGAGAATAGGCACTGCTCCTTATCTTTGAACATTTAGTGGACTTTCCAACTACTGTCAAAAGGCTCAAAAAATGCAAAATTATTTTTCCAACTTTACTTTCACCAGCCAGACTTTTTCAGTTACTTGCCTATCAGCTGATAACTGTTAAATTTTATTTTATTTTTTTTAAAAAAAAAACGGTTGGAGTTTTTATAAAGTATATAAAATTTTCAAAAAAGGAATAATTTTGCTTTTAACTGTATTACTGAATACCTGAGGTAGTTGAGTAAAAATGCACGTTTAATACCCCGCCAACAGCGGTTGGCGCTTCCCTTAGGTTATCCATGTTAGTGTTAGAGAAACAGGAAACAACAGCTCTTCTAGTCTAATGGCTTAATGTTGTGTTCCTGTGACAATTCTACTTTGATCCAATTTCAACAATTGGACTTAGGAACGATCTAGTTTTAAATTTATTTGACAAATTTAGTGAATGTACCATTTATGCCAATTTCTGGCATTATGGAGGGATATTAAGAAAAATTAGCATGTTTGTTATACTTTGATATCACAAGGGAAGTGCAGAGTTCTTTCCCTACCCCCACTTTTTTTTTTCTTTTTTTTTTTTTAAAGCTGGGTGTCATATATTTCAGAGAGCATAAAGTATACATTCTCACAGAGACAGGAGTTCGAGTTGCCTGGTCCTCAGAAATAACCAGCTAGGTAAAAAGTCGTGCATGTGATTCTGGATGGGTCAGCACCCGTCTGTTGGTTAAGCAAATCTGTCTTTGGTTTGGCATCTGCCTCTGTGGTGGCTGTCTCCTGAGCCTTTACTTCCGCCTTGACTGAGGTGGTCCACTCTGCAGAGCTTTCTGCTGTTGGTGCTGTTTTACCTGAGTCAGAATTTCCTGAATTTTCCTCTGGGCAACCTACAAAAGGACAGAATTTCATAGAATCTGCACAGTCCAAAGTTACCAAGTTACTCTACTGCGACAACATCAAGTTGAAGTCCTTGTGCCTAATATTTACCAGTGTGCTGGCTAAAAGGAAAACTAGATGTGTGAGCACTGCCAGGCACAGTGGGGCATAAGGACAGAAGCTGAGGTGTTCACATCTCTGGGGCCGAGGAGTTCAAGTCAAGGCTAGCTTGGGTAACAGCAGAAACAGCATGCTTCAGTACCCCACCAAACACTAGGACCCATGGGCATCTAAAGGTTCACATATACATATATACATGGAATGGTAGCCTTATGATAAAGTCACTTGCCTGGCAAGCATAGAAGTGGCCAGTTATTTTGACAACAACTTGATCATTCTCATCAGGTGTCTGGTCACGGGGGACAACAACTTCAGCACTTGATAAATTCTGGAGTTCATTCACCTGAAATAGATAAAATCGTATCACTAAGCATTACAAGATTCTTTCCTAAGCACTTTCTGTAAACTAGACACAGCTCTGGCTTTACAGAGCTCATTCTGTCCACTAACAGGTCTCTGAGCTAGAGTTCCCATTTTAACAAGACTGGAACTAAAGTCTGGACAAAGAAGCCCATTACAGAAGTAAACAGCAAAACCAGACTCAGGTCCTCAAGTTGTGCTCTGGGTGGGCTCTATGTTACTCCAGAGTTAAAGATCTTGAAATGACTTAGTTGAGAAAGACTGCAAACTACTTTTTTGCAATTTGAAGATAATTTGTAAAGCATCACTTCCTGTTCATTAAGGTTTATAGAATAAAAAGTTCAAGTTATATGTGAGAATGCTGCCTGCCCCTTTCAAGTCCCAGGCCAGAGCCCTGTCTGGTGTATGCAGCAGTCTCACTAGCAGGTTACAGAAAGAAGGAAATCTCTTCCAAACCTTGATCAAGATGATCCCACTTTTTATAAAGTAGCCAAAGGCCCAGGGTAGAGCTGGGCTCCTGCAGCGCCTTCTTCCAGCACGGCAGGCTGCTGCTAGGGTACTTGCCGTTTTGCCTCCTTTCCCAATAACTCTGCCAGCAGCAAAGGATGGCACTCTGATGTGAGCTTCAAGTTTCACCTCTTCTTTAGGACTAACAAAGTTTTCTTCTTTAATTTTTCCATAAATTCTTCCCTGAGCCTACAGATGACAATATATCCTGTCAGTATCATTCATACTTGAAACAAAAGGTCAGTTAACTTTGAAGACAGCCTGGCTCAGCCTGGAATTCCCACTGTCGTGGCTCATCAACGTCTGGAATGAAGACTGACAACAGTAAGAGACAGTAGTTAGGAGCCTCAGAGAAGGTTGATGATAACTGTTTCCCAGGCAAGGCGACTAGATGCCTGACAAGAGGAGGATATGGGCAGAGGGCAGTGATATTTGTAACAGTGTCATTATGAGACCCATGGTGCACACCAGCACCTAAGGAGTAAGCTGTATGCTGAACATAAAGGCATTTAATAGGAGGTCTAATTAAAACTGATTTTAGGGGCAAATGACCATTCACACTCCAGTCTTGAATAAAGCCTCTCCTACTGTCAAGAAAGAAATTGCATTGTTCTTGAGCAAAAGAAACTAGGGAAGACCTGCATAATAAGGAACTCGGGTTCACAAGCAGATAAGCCCATGTCTAAATAGGACAGACACCGACCAACATGAACATTTTCTACTTAAACAGATCTCTTCCTCGGGTGATTTCAGCTTTATGGAAGCCAAAATGTTGGGTATGACACGTCAGTAGTCCCAGCACTTAGGAGCCTAAGGAAGGGCGTAGCTACACATGTAAGGCCAGCTTTGGCTATAGAGTAAGGGCCTCCTACTTCTTCCCAAAAAGGCTACAGAGATGAAGTTAATGTACACTTCTAGTACTTCACTAATGTGTCCTGTGTACAATTAGATGTTTTATGTCAGGGACCTCCTATTGTGTGCAACCGTGAATTTGTTCTCTTACACGTCAAAGGGGAAGGGATTTGAAGTTGGGAAGTTGGGCTAATCTGACAAGATGCAAAGCCAGCCATGAAAGCCCGCATAGGCAGGTCTTCACTGGGGAGAGATGCTAAGGAGGCTCATTTGGAGGATCAGAGGGAAGACAAAACTCATCCACTCTCCAGTCTTCTAGACATTCTTCTTTTTTAAAATTTTTACTTGTATGTGTATAAGTGTTTTGCCTGCATGTATATCTGTATCATATGTGCATGCATGTATGGTAGGTCTCAGACCTGTGGTTTCTCATATTCGAGAAAGGAGCTGTAACCTACTCATAGCCAGTTTTTAACATTTCAAATTTCTGACATGAACTGGACTAGGAGGCTGCTGGGAGGGTAAGTGTCACTTTGGCGTGTAGGCAGTAGTACTCAACACGCTAAGATCCGAGTGTCCTGTTCCCTCCGTAAATGATGGGACGCAGCTCTGGATTTTCACTGACTCAAAACAAAAAAGAGGGTCTGGACTATAGCTCAAGACAGAGCGCCTGCACAGCAAGGCTCTGGTTTAGTCTTTTTCTTCCCAGATAGAGATGGTGGGGTGAGCTCTGGGCAGTACTATGGTACTATAATGTTAAGAAACAGCAGACGAGACTAAGGTTAAGAGTGAATGCTTGACCTTTTACACAGATGTTAGTGAGACATAGGACTAGGATACAAGCGTTGGGCTGGTGAAGTGGTTCAGTAGGTAAAGAAAGTCCCCAGAACCCACATAGTGGGAGAAGGCTGACTCATAGATGTCCTCTGACCACAGCATGCCAGGACGCACATTCTCCTCCCACTCCTCTCATTAAATAAATAAATGCAATTTTTCAAAAAGATGTAGGTACTAAATTAATTAATAGAAAGTCCCAGCCATCCTGATGGTGATGGTAAGCCAACACCATTACAGAACTCAACACCTAGCTGCCTAAGCCATGGTGTTCCACACTGACTGTTCACTGGAATGAAGGCCTCGTGACTGTGGCTTCACCTACTGCCTCAGAGTTGGCTCTCACAAGAGCACAGAGGGAGGTGGTGCTGCTTGTTTCAGGCACTATACACTGGATACACTCTACCTAGGACAGAGATGCTAAGATGTCCATTCTACAGATGAAGACATGGGGAGAAGACTACTTGTCTAAGGTCACATAAATGGTGAATGGCCAAACAAGGATTTGAAATAGGGGCCTAGCTGCCAAGTTGTCTCCATCACCTTAGAACACACGGACTCCAGATACCAATAAATGTTTAGTAGTTAAAGCCAGAACTCATGACATACATCACAGCCCTAACCTAAAACCCAAGGACAGTGCTAGGTGAAGGTAAGAGAAAAGAGTCCACTGTAACTCCAGATGACATCTCCAAGACAGAATGGGATGTTGAGAAACAGATTTACAAGGTTCATTAGCAGGCTGGTGTGTCTATGCCAGTGTTAGGGTCCCAACGGCCTCAGTGGTGACAGTAAACTAACACCATTACAGAACTCAAAACTAAAGGTTCTTGGTTTATGGTTGTGAAAGAATTCTGGTGTGGTTCCACTATGATCTTTGTAATTTTCACTGATACAGGGGCTGGAGAAGACAGCATCATCTTGCTCCCTCTCATTACCTGTGCCCTCCATAACACATACCTTGAATTGAGCCTCTGGTGGTCCAGTGATAATCACCATCCTCACTTTAGCATCTGGTGCTTCGGCTGGAGCGATCTGTAATAGAGCCATCACCAGCCAGTTATGATACTTTCGGGGGTCACTGACAAACCTTAGGCAAACCAGCCTGACATCTGCACATGATTGACTGAGCTGTAGAATTAAATGACTTCTGGAAAGGAATTATGGAGAGGCTATGATTAATATGGGCCAGTCAGGTATAGTACACTATTTACTGAGTATTAAAGTGGTACCTGACTCTAGTGTAAAACTGCAGTACAGTCACTGAGCTAACCCATACCACATCTAACTAAAGGATAATCACTTTACAGTGGGAGCACAGAAGGCTGGGGACATTAAAGAACCCAACCGATAATTGCATAGTTAAAGGCTTGAGAGAGCTGGATGCATCCATTCCCTGTGCTCTTGGTCATAACTCCAGTCGTACATGAAGTGGATTGCTTAAACTATTTGTATACTTTTTGTTGCTAAGACTACTGGGTAAATTGCTCCCAAGTTTACTCATTGGAAGGACATAGGACATTAACCAATATTAACTGAACAGGAGACACCTCAGTTTCCATGGAGAATATGAAATCAAAAGTACAGGCTAGGAAAACAGTGTAGAATCAATAGAAAGAGGAGCCAGCATGCCCAGAGTCACAAGAAAGAGTTTGTAACCTAGTTAGGGAATTATTTTAAGGGGATTTGGGTGGAAGAGATGGCTCAGTAAAAAGTCTGCTGTGAATGGCAAGAACTGGAGTGTGGACGCTCACCTGTACAATTCCAGCACCAAGAGATAAAATGGGTTCCTCAGATCAACCAGGCAGCAAAACAGCCTTACTGATAAGCTCTAGGTTCAACTGAGAGCCCCTGACACTTGCTGTCCAAATAAAGCCTAATTGTTACATTATAAAACTGTTTCCCAGCACTTGGGAGGCAGAGGCAGGCAAATTTCTGAGTTCGAGGCCAGCCTGGTCTACAGAGTGAGTTCCAGGACAGCCAGGGCTATACAGAGAAACCCTGTCTCGAAAAACAAAAACGTGTAAGACAAAAAAATACAAGTCACCCCAATTCGATCCCTGAAGATCGTCAGTGCTGATTACTTGATGTAATTTTCTAGAAAAAGACTTTAGAATAAATCAAGTCTTGTTTTCATCTCCCTTCAAAATAAGGCTACCATTCTGTCACCTAGAGTCAAACTGATACCTAGATCTACTAATGCAGGGCACTGACTTCTTTTGAGCCTGAAAAACAAGCAAAGAGTTCCTTGCATTTAGTCTAAATTCCTGGGGGGTTGTTGACAGGAAACTGTAAAGGTGTCATTCCTTAGCATTCCAGCTTTCTTTGGTTTGCTTTGTTTTAAATACTCTCAATGGTAGAGAGCCAGGCTAAGGGAATGCACACTCTGACAGTATATATGGCTTCTACAGCCCTCCTTCCAGTTTGATTTTCTTTTCAAGATAGGTTTTTTTTTTTTTTTCTGTGTAGCCTGGGCTGTCCTAGAACTCGATCTGCAGAGCAAGCTAGCCTTGAACTCACAGAGATCTGCCTGCCTCTGCCTCCTAAATGCTGGGATTAAAGGTATTAAAGCCAGCCACCAGGCTGGCTACCAAAGGGTTCATATCCTTTGACTAACCAAGTCTATTCATATAAGCTTCTGTTAAAGAAATAAGGTTGTGTTATTTTATTTAGTGTGGATAAATTAAGAGTAACTTCAATGTCAAAAAATCAGTGAAGACGTTAAATGATGATGATTTGGTAGTACCAAGCACCTGCCTCAGGGTTCAGGGGATGCTGAGTGAGCTTGAGGACTAGGGTGGGAATCCCCATCACCCAAAAAGAAAGCCAAGCCCAGCTGCCTGTGCCTATATCCTCAGCATTAGCGGTAGAGACAGGTGGGTCATTGGAACACAACGGCTGGTGGGCATATTGCCAGTTCAGTGAGAGACCCTGTCCCAAGGCAATAAATAAGGCAGAGAGCAATGGAGGAAGACCTCTGAGGTCCACATCGGTGCACACATACACAAAACAAACCCGGGTATCTGTGTAACAAAATTGCACAAAAAGGTAATCATATCTAATCCTGCATCACATAGCAAAACAGGCAAAAGAGGCAGCCAGTCTTGGAGATTATGTTTCAGGCTTTCTGAAAACACACACTCTCCCAGCCCAGTTAGAAGACCTAATGAAGGCAGGAAGAAGTGAGCGTAGTTCATTGTGTATATGTGAGCATGTGTTAGATTAACTTTTAAAAATATTTTAATGATGAGTGTATGTAAGTGTGTTGAGGATGGGGTATACACCTCAGTACAGGTGCCCACAGAGGCCAGAACAGTGTGTTGAATCCTGACACTTAAGTTAAAGACACTGAACTGAGGTCCTCTACAACAGCAGTGTGTGTTGCTAACCACTGAGCCATCTCTCTGCCTGTCTTCACACTGATTTAAGAAAACTTGAGAACCTGCAGGGCAGTAAAAGCTTCGTACTTCATTGTCCCCACGCCTGTCCCTTCACCACTCACTGAAACTAACTGCATCGCCTGTCCCTCGATTTTGCTGTCTCTTCTACAAGAAAGTATGTAAGGGCTGTTTCTGTGTTTTGTTTTCTTGTTTTTGTTTTTGTTTGTTTGTTTTTGTTTTTTCGAGACAGGGTTTCTCTGTGTAGTCCTGGCTGTCCTGGAACTCACTCTGTAAACCAGGCTGGCCTCAAACTCAGAAATCCGCCTGCCTCTGCCTCCCAAGTGCTGGGATTAAAGGCGTGCGCCACCACCGCCCAGCTGTTTCTGTGTTTTGAATTTTAATTTAACTTACATAAAGCAAATTTTACCCTTTGTTGTCCAGTTCTATAGGGTGACAAATATGTACTCAGGTTAACTACCCCCACAGTGAAATCACAGAACAGTCAGTCCTCTCTCTCCCAGCCCCTCAAGCAGCGTCTCTGTGCATCTCCCATGTCAGTGTCTAGCTGCCAGACTTCCTTGCTGTCCTTGTAGCTCTACCTTTTCCAGAATTATTCCATAAATGGACCATATAGTATGAGGGCTTCCTTTCTGACTTCTGTCACCACAATACATGAAATTTCTCTTACACACTTACCTTCAATGTTACTCAGTAACTTCTACTGTGCAGACTCACTGCATGGAGGATTACACTTTATCTGCACATGAAGGGCATTTGGCATTTTATTTTACCAATAAAAATGCTTTGGGGTAGGGGAGCTTATGCTAAGTTTCATTTCTCATAAAGATAGCTAGAAGTGGAATCTATATGTTTACAGAAATTGTATTAAATCTTTTTTTTTTTTTTTTAGGAGCTTTTTGGGTTTTTGGTTTTTGAGACAGGGTTTCTCTGTATAGCCCTGGCTGTCCTAGAACTCACTATGTAGACCAGGCTGGCTCGAACTCAGAAATCCACCTGCCTCTGCCTCTGCCTCCCAAGTGCTGGGTTTAAAGGCGTGCGCCACCACTGCCTGGCTTTAGGAGCATTTAAAAGCTCTCACTGGCATGCCTTTAATCCCAGCACTTGGGAGGCAGAGGCAGGCAGATTTCTGAGTTCGAGGCTAGTCTGGTCTACAGAGTGAGTTCCAGGACAGCCAGGGCTACGCAGAGAAACCTTGTCTCGAAACCCCCCCCCCCCCAAAAAAAAAAGCTCTCACTGACAGTTTCTGGAAGAAAGCTATGAACTTTTCAAACCTGGCAATCTTTGTTTTGAAGCAAGAATCCGAGGATGGGGGCATGGTTTAGTTGATAGAATGTTTAGACCCCAGCATCCATATAAACAGCTCCAAGCTGGAAGGGCAGAGACACTGAAACTCACTGGCCAGGCAGCCCACCGAGTCAGCAAGGTGATCAGTAACACTCCATCTCAGAATATAAAGTGCGTGTGACTGAGGAACCAGCAGACGTTATCCTCCGTGTATACACATACACACCCTCTCCTAGGTGTGCATGCACACACACAAACACCCCTTTTATCTAATCATGAATTGTTTCAACACATCAAAATACAGATCCTTCAGAGACAATGATCTCTTGACAAACACGAGTGGTCCCACATTTACACAATAAATACTTAGTTGACAACACAAAACTTCATTTCCCTGCTGCCCCTTCAGCTTTGCATGGCCAAATCCTGAGAATGGAATACATACAAAACTATCCCCTAGCAATGAACTTATGGGAAAGACTGCTGGGTGACAGGCATGCCTCTTTTTGTTGTTTTGTTTTCAAGACAAGGCTTCTCTGTGTAGACTAGGCTTGCCTCAAACTCAGATATCCACCTACCTCCACCTCCTGAATGCTAGGATTAGAGTGCACACTACTGTCCGGCTCAGACGTGACTCTTAAGAGCATGGAAAGTGGAGATGAGCTAGAAGGAAGTTGTTAAGTCAAGATCTCAGAATGTTGACTAGAGAGATGTTAACTAAGCACAGTTAAGCCACTGTTGCAAGGTTCCTGTCATATTCCCGATTCAGCCCACCACTTCCGCTTCCTTGTATAACCAGGAGAGCCACAATATGCACAACAGTACCTTAATCGAAGCTCCTGCAAAACGAGAAAGCTGTTTGATATGTTGTCCCTGCTTGCCAATGATGGCGCCAACGGACAGGGCGGGAATAAACAGGTGCACAGTCTCTGTTTCTGATTGCTGTAAGAAAAGAAAGCCAGGACATGAGTGTCTAATGACTGCCAGAGAAATCACTGGCACCTTCACCTTTGGCACAGGCACATTCTCATACCGTAGGAATACTAGGAAGGTCATGGAAAACCATAATGAATTAACCAGAGCTTACCTATCAAGCCAAAGGCGGTCCTGAAAGGGCCAGTCGTTAAAATCTCACCTTTGTCTACATAGTTTCCCTAAACTTCAAAATCTCATTGAATTATAGATACTTTGCCTTCTTTTTATTAATATTTAAAACATATAAGGTAGCTTTCAGACTATACATCACAAACTAGACAGCAGTGAAGTATATGGAAGTCCAGAGTCTAGTGACACCCCCCCTTCCTTTTTCCTTCCCTTCTTTTTCCCCCAGAGCCAAGGACGAGGCAAGCACTCTTCTGCCGATCTAAATCCCCAACCCCAGGCTTTTAATTCTTAAACACAAAGAGTAAACAGCTCCTATGCAGGGACAGAGCACATCATTATCATTCCGCACTTAGCACACATAAGACAGAATTCAGAGAAACCTGTTACTTTAGTAACAAAATACTGTAGACACTTCCCTCCCATGCACGTCCCCACACTCCCTTGGCATCTTATATACAAGTAGTCAGAAACCATTTTGAAAGCTAAGTCCTGAAAGGTTATGCACAGATGGACTCATACTTCCCTTCACTGGTCACACGTGCCCTCTCCAGGCTCCTGTCACACAGTCACTCAGAGACAGCTCAGTGACACATCCCTCACAAGGCTATCCCAAGGTGCAGTACTAGCAGTGGGGTGAGTTCTAATGTAGAGCTACTCCAACTGCTTACTCTCCATCACCTTCTAACAGCAGGAAGCCTGCTCCAGGAAGAGTTAACAGTGCTGGGCTTGGAATGAAAATGGTCCCCAGAGGCTCTTGGGGATGGGCACTACTGGGAGGTGTGGCCTTGTTGGAGAACCTGTGTCACTGGGGATGGGCTTTGGGGTTTCAGAAGCTCAACCCAAAGCCAGGCCCAGTGGCTCTATTTTCCTGGTGCCTGCCAATCCAGATGCAGAGCTCTCAGCTACCTGTCCAGCACCGTGCCTGTCTGCACACTGCCATGCTTCCACCATAATAATGGACTGAACCTTTGAAACTGTAAGCCAGCCCCTATTAAATGTTTGTTGCCATGGTCATGATGTCTCTTCACAGCAATAAACCCCAAGACAGCCACCAAAGGAGTCTTGGGATGGGGGCAACAGGCGTCATTCAGGCCATGAAGATGTCAGAGAAGAGTTCAAGAAGCTGAGATGGAGAAGGAAGGCTTAAGGAAGCTGCTCCTTGTGGCTGAGATAATGCAACCTATTTCTATTCCTATTTAAACATCTTTGTCACCTACAGTTAGGATAAATTATTGTTCTAGAGCTTGTTGCATATAAGTTTGTTTTTGAAAAACATATATAGTGGGGGCCATTAAGAGCACTGGCTGCTCTTCCAGAGAACTCAGATTTAACTCCCAGCACCCACATGGCTTACAGCCATCTGTAACTCCAGTTCCAAGAGATCCACACTCTTCTTTTGACCTCTGGGAGCACTGTGCATATGTGCTACACAGACATAAATGCAGGCAAACCACCCCTACACAAATACCACCAACAAATTCTGAAATTAAAAAAAAAAAAAAAACAGTGGTGGGAAAAAGGTAAGTCACCAATAAAGCAGCAAAACACATTGTGCTTTAAAGAAGATGTTATATGTTTACATCTCTAGAGGTGGAAGAAGCTATTTGCAATAAGAAATTTAAAAATAGGGGCAGAGGATCTCCGAGTTCAAGGACAACCTAGTTTACACAGCTAGTTCCAGCACAGCCAGGGCTTCACAGAGAAACCCTGTCTCAAAGAAGAAAAAGAAAGGGGGGAAGTGGGGGAGGGTGGCTGAATTTTAAACATGAATAATTTGGTGAGAATTTCAGAACTGTCTCTTGAAGTATCCCCACCCCAGCTCTGGAAAAGGAATGGCTGAAATGACCACAACATAGCATCACGACTGCAGCGAAGTGCAATGTGTGAGGAGTCTGCAGCCAGAATGTCCTGCCATGTGACAAAAGCTGCTGCCCTCAAAGCACTAGGACCTGCCCAGCGGAGCAAGCCAAGTCTGAAGCAACTGTGCTTCCACACAGGAGATGGAGCCCAGACCAATGCTACGTCATGTGCACTGTTGGCAACTCATCTAAAGTGACTCGGCGGCCATCTGAAGCTGGAAGAAGGCGTTTCTGAACATCACCCATCTTCCTTGGCTCCACTTTCATCCCCCCAGCCATCTTGCTGGCCATAAATTATTTCACAAGGGAATTTTCCTCTGAGAACATGGGCAGCTTGTGGAAATGTCCATCCACTTGACTGTCTGTACAATGTGTTCTCACATGGAATCCAGCATGAGAAGCCATGTTCTCAGAATCTGCCTCATAAAAGCACACCATTTCGTTTTGACTGGCAGACCTAAGCAGACAGAGGAAAAGCCTCTGAGCAGCATCCTTCCTCCTGACACATTCCTTGGGTATAAGTTCACTGTCCTGAACACACAGGAGACCTGTTCCTGCACAGATTCTTTGAGGATGAAAGATAGTCACAGGACACAAGCTATTTCCCAATGGATTGCTGCCAGATGCCTATGGCAGGCAAAGCTTCCTTCGGACTCTTGGCAAGCACTGTGCTGTATCTTGAAATAGTGAGAACAGAGCTGTGAGGCCGAAACGTTTGCGTAACTGGTGAAGTCTGCCAGTGAGTAATTCCTAATCACCCGCCATCGAGAAGATACAAGCAGCAGCAAACAGTGAGGTCAAGTGTATTTACTTTGCAGGGAACAAAATCTCAGGCATTACAAAGGCATGGAGACGTGCCTGGCAGCCCAGAGATCAGCCTCCAGGAGCCTGGCCTGGTGCCCGTGTTTTCCTTTGGCCTGTAAGATAGGTACTTGGGGGAAGGAGGAGTTGTTTTTAACTAGATTTGGGTCTGGAACTAAAATGAAGTTTACTCAACTCCATGACCTGAACAAAATACTACAGCTTAAAAAAGAAAAGAAAAAAGGAAAGAAAGAAAAAAGGAAGTTTTCCCCATAACCAAGTAAACCAATGATTTACTTGCTTAGAAATGTTTTACTGCACCCACAATGAAAAATCTTAAGGACTACAAGATACTACCTGGCTTTATAAGGAGACAGTAACTCAGTCTGTTTCTTAGTGCTTCTGGTGACCTACAAAGAAGTGATGGCTCATCTTTCCTGCCCTTGTCAGAGTAGAACCCTTGCCACTTGAAGGTCAAACTCCTATCTTGGAGCCTTCAGAAAAGAGTATAAAGAAGCTATCAGCATTGTGAAGACAAGGGCTCACAGGTCTACTCCTGCCAACCCAACTGCAAGCTGCCAACACAGCCACTGAGACACTGCATGCACTGCGCCAGCTCCAGCCCTTGTCTGGTTCTCTAGCTGCCAATTCTCACTCCTCTACTGCTTGGGCATTTCTGAAAGGAGAATTTCCTGTCATTTATAAATGAGGGCCTTGCCAATTAAGTACTGAGTGAACCAACTTCCAGGCAGGAACTATAGACACTTTCTGAAATCTTTTAGAAGAGACATCACTTTGGCTGTTTGGAGACATCAGCCTCACAGGTTCTGGGAGAGAGAATCCTTTGGAAGGATGAGTGGGTAGAGATCTGGAATGGAACAAGGACAAGATGCTTATCAATAGACAGTGCACTTCATTCTCCTTCACAAAGCAGAAATGAATAAATATACATAAAGATGACAGACAATTCTAAAAGTCCATAAAAAGTCTTGGTGGTGGTGGTGGTGGTGGTGGTGGTGGTGGTGGTGGTGGTGGTTTACACACCAAAATCTACTTCTCAGGGATAGGGAGATGTGTTAGTCAGTAAATTAAAAACCTGGGTTTGGAAGCCAGGCACAGTGGCATGCATCTGTCCATCTGAGGATCATCTACACGGATAAATCCCTGGAGCTCACTGGCTGGCAGCTGAGCCAGATCAGCAAGCACCGGATTCAGTGAAAGAATTTTACTCCAAAAAATAAGGTGGAAGGCTCCAGAGATGGCTCAGTGGCTCGAAGTACTTGTCACGCAAACATGACGATCTGGGCAGGCGGCTGCCTCAGACAAAGTGGAAGGCTAAGAAGGCTACCCTCCCTTCTGACTTCCACACCTGAGCTGTAGTGCATGTACCTCCATACACATGTGCATGCCTACATGTATACATACACCATATAAAGAAACGCACACACATATCATACAGACTCACACACATACAGAAACATACAATATAAAAACTAAGGCAGCGAGAACAACAGGATGATACACAAAATGTGGACGGTCCCTGATCTCCACGTCCACACTGATGCATGTGCACATGAACACATGCGTGCACACATACACCCAAACTCCTCTTAGCAAGCGATATGCATTTATAATAAAAGCAGAGATTCACTCTTACCCCACACGACATCAAAGATGAAGATGGTTTTGGTAAGTATTCTGAATTCTCTGAGATAAGTGTCAATAGCAAGGTCTTTCTTTTGGGACTGAGCATCAGTCAAATCCAGAACTTTGCACAGTAAAGAGCTCTACCACTGAGCTACCTCCTTAGCCAGGAACAAGGAAAGACCAGGAAGAAAGAAAGCTTCTTATCACAAGTACAGTCACCTCAGTGTGGCACAAGTTTACCTTCACCATTCCCAGAGTAAATACCTGGGAAACTTTAGCACACATCAGAGACCCACCACACTACCTTCTCCAATGAGGTAATAACAAAAGAACAGACAGAGCATACTGAGGGCCAGGGCTGGAGTCAGTGGGCAGAAGCCTGCTTAGCATGTGCACACCCCTGAGTCCAAGCCCCATACAACATAAAACTAAGCAGGGGGAAAAAAAAAACTAAACAGGGTAGTGTACACTTGTGATCCTGGCACTTCAGAAGAAGAAGCTTGAGACCAGAAATTCAGAATCATTCTTGTCTACACAGTGTGTTTGAGGCCAACCTGGATAATATGAGACCTTGCCTCAAAACAGAACAAAACAAAACAAAACAAAGCTGGTACAGCTCTGGTAAATTTAACTGTTGCCCTTAAAAATTATAGTCTCAGGGTTGGAGAGATGGCTTAGCAGTTGAGACAGCACTTGCTACTTCTCTAGAAGACCTTGGTTCAACTTCCAGCATTCACATGTTGTCTTTCAATCTTTAAAAACTACAATTCCAGGGGATCCAAAACCCTCCTCTGGCCTTCTTAGGTGTGTTACACAGACATATGCAGGCCAATTATTTTATATATATATAATTTTTAAAATGTATTTCCCAAAGTAGTTCCACTACAAATAGGTAAGTACAGTTACATATACTACTTCCTGCCTTCAAGACCCCTAGTGGATACCTAAGGCCACTGATCCTTCAAAACCCTACACACACTATGATTTTTCTATAGACACCTTCTAAGATAAGCTAGAGTGGAATACACTAGAACAATAACAAAACAGAAAAAAAAAAAAGCTGTACAAAGGAGCTCTCTCTGTCTCCTCAATGAATATTGAGCAGTGGTCAACTGGGGGGACTAACATATCAGTGATTTGGATTTAGAAATAAAGCTGAGAGAATCACAGACATCCATGTGAAAAAAGAGTGATTTATTTCAGGTTGTATGTAAAAACACAAGATAATGCTCAGAACACCTGTGTATGCTCTGCATGTCAATAAACTCACAGGCGTGGAGACTGAAACAGGGAACATCCTCAGCTACAACTTAGAGTCTCCCTTTCTCTCTGAAAGAACTCACAGGCTCTGGAGTTCCCTTTAAGAGCTGACAAGGCTATGTCCACTTAGATTGACAGGAATGGCTGCTCCAACATCTATTTTCCTGTCCATGTTTAATAGACACACTGCAACCCCCTAGAGCAATTGCTTCCCAGCTTCCTTGCAGCTAGACAAAGCTGGGTGCCTATCAAGGGTCAAATATCAACGCATGCTTCAGACACTGCCCTTACAGGCATTAACATTGTTGTTTGTTCCTTTGCTGGCTGGACTGAAAACCACTGGCTAGAGTCTGAGTAATTTCTGTGGGCTGGAGAATGGTGTTAAACAGTCCTGGGAGGAGCAGGAGACTCACCACTCACCTTGGGCCATCTACCCTTGACCCTCGGAAAACATTTAAGCTAGCCCTCTGCTCCCATAACACACAGGCAAGCACATTTTCCATCTACCCAGCATACCACAATAGATTCAGAAGACTGAGAATGGACACATGGGAGCATCCCACAGACATGTTTTGGCTTGGTGGATGCCTAGAGTTTGAATGACAAGTGCTCTCAAGATAAAAGGGTATTTGGTGGTGGTAGTTTTTAAACTGTTCTCTGAAATAAAACAGAATAGGATAGAAAGAGAAATACATCAGTGGGGTATTAATGCTCTCCTCAAATCTTTTCTCACATACACTGATGTGAAAAAAAACATGCTTTCCTCCAGCAATTACATCTCCTCTCCTGCCCAGTAAACATTCTTGTGGAGCAGCTCTTGACAATGAGTGAGCAGCAAGAAACCTCCTGTCGCCGGGCAGTGGTGCGCACGCCTTTAAACCCAGCACTTGGGAGGCAGAGGCAGGCGGATTTCTGAGTTTGAGGACAGCCTGGTCTACAGAGTGAGTTCCAGGACAACCAGGACTACACAGAGAAACCCTGTTTCAGGAAGAAGAAAGAAAGAAAGAAAGAAAGAAAGAAAGAAAGAAAGAAAGAAAGAAGGAAGGAAGGAAGGAAGGAAGGAAGGAAGGAAGGAAGGAAGGAAGGAAGGAA